TCGCTTCTTAGTTGCCCTTGACTGGATAATGGCTACACCCCAGCCTCCCAGTCTACGGTTCCTACCCAATCCAAGGCGCAAATGCAACAAAATGTCCGTGCTTGCTTGGTGCTACCTGACGCTTCAATCACAGACTCGGGTCGGCTACAAGCTGGGTATGAAATTGCAGCCGAAGATGGCCACGAATCAGAATCGGTTCATACCCTCTTGGTCTTCTAACGGCAATGGATTATTGTCTTCATGCATATGCAACTAGCTAAACCCGGGGTTAGTGCGATGAGGGGTTGCGACCTGAGGCATAAGCAGGTAATAGAAGCATTGACCGTCCGAGGAAAAAGCAATCATCAATCTTGAACGATGATCATGGGGTAGGGACTTAGGAAATCAACCCTTAGTGCATCTAGTTCTTCATACAAAAGACATATTTGGTGGCTTGTGAAGTTAGGTCTTGATGCGCAATACGGAACTCGGCATAGGCATCATTCTAATCCCTCCTCAATATTGTCTAGGTTGGCTAACTGTCTTAGTCTTACCATAATACCCTGCTCACAGATAGCCAATGCAGGACGCCGTAGTTTGCAGCACGTCAGAACTTTCTTCATTTGTTTGAGCGAGGCAGCTGGGTACTATTATCAGTGATAGTTAGAGTCCACTACGCGGCATCATCCTAACCAGACAGTGTCTACGCAGTAGATGATACCGGATGCATAGTCTGCACTGCATCCGGTGGCAATGACGCTCCTCAGAGCAGTGATGATGCAGGGGTAGGACTGGTTGATGTGAGATCAATAATTATTATATTAACTGCCTCAGTCTGCACTCTGCACAGCCCACACAGGACAAGGTCGAACAGATCCATGGGTGGAATGATGGATGGCTGCAGGTAAATCTGTAAGCGAACTAGCGTCCGAGGACGGATGGCCCCAGCTTTCCGTCATGGTATGATGGTCCCCCTTTACTTTACATCCATACCGAAACCTTTGATAAATTTCACTTGCGCTAGTTTTTCGAATTTCAGCAAACCACGCCTACGGAGGACCCTAAAGCTTAGGTTGGTCACACTGCCGCCTACTGGAATAGGAGGTGTTGTTTTACCTTGAAAAAGCAACGGCTGGGTGTCTCAGATAGATACTTTGTACAATCAAGGATGAGGTTAGGAGGCAAATCGCTATTAAACTTGGAGCCACCCGCTCAACTACACTCCTCTGCGGGCCGCTGGTTGACCTGTGCGCTTGAACAGTGCACTCCATTTCGACGGAAAATTATTCGACCTTTTGACGCGGCATCAGGTAGGTACATACATGCATAAACTGCAAAACCAGACTTCATACGAAGAAGGATGGCGAATTGCGATTCAGCGCAGGAACCTACGGAGTAGCATTCAGAATGCAGATCAGGTAATTCGACGACGCCTCCGCTGTTCTGCCATGGTATCAAACCTGTCTACTCCGTACAACGTTCGAGACGCCTTTAGCAGTTGGATCAGCAAGACGAAAAAAGGCCTAGCACCCGTCAATCCGTATCAATATCCCCGCCACTACCATCATACACCAGAGAGCGACCCGACTGAAAGTGCCCGTTTTGTCATCGAATAGAGAGGTATATGGTTGGCGGGTTGCGGCCCAATGATGTAATGCTCAAGAGAGAGTTTCGTGTGATTGGGAAATGGTTCCGGAGAAACCATTTTACTAGGCAGTCTACCTTCTCCTGAGTTAGCGGAAACTCAAGAAGCAATTTGGTTAAGGCCAAATTTGGATTAAAGTCTAGGGGCGACTCTGCAGCGAGGTGGAAGGGCCTGTTAGATGCCGGGGGCTATCTACACGTCCGTACTCTGGGAGAATTGTCGTCTAGCTTAGGAGTGCTTCTTGAAACCGGTTCAGACCTTGCGTGAAGCATACGGAGCAGTACAGAGAGATGATAAATACGAGTTTCTCGTCTACCTAGATACTGGAAACTAATCCAGCGGTACCTATCTAAATACTTGCCTGCAAAGGTGATCCTGCTATGCAAAGCCAAAGGCAAAAATGTGACGGAAAAGTCTACTCTGTCTTGTTCTTGTACGAGGCATTGGAGGCAAATAGGTACTTAGCGTCTTTATGCACATATATCGTTATCTACTGGTGCTCAAGGAAGGCTGCTTTACAACTTGCACATTATCCCAGTTGTCAGGAAGACATCGAGTTCAACCAAGGTTGCCCCTAAAACAGCCACTCCTCGTCGGATCCGATTGTAATTGGATCGCATAAGAGAATGATGATGCTGTACATGTCGTCTGTATAAGTGTAAGTTTCCACAGCCTTCCAATCACCCAGGAGAAATCCTTAGATGGAGACTCTTGGGCACTGCTCTACAACGAAAGTGGATATAGGCTGCTTCAATATACCGATACGATAATTGAATTCCTACTGACCTTGTCGAATATCAAACAAATGGTCGGTGAGGTGTTATGTTATTATGCTTTCGCACGGCGATCTCTCTTTAATTGTGCTTCATAGGTACTGAATAAGAATCGTCCATGAAAATTACTTCGTACCAGGTAGGTACCTAAGATACCTACTGTAGTAATTAGTTGGTCTTGTCTAAGGTACTTAGACTACCTAATTGTGCCTACAGAGTAGAGAACAGACCTCCGGCTAACAGTCTAAGCTCAACGAGGCGAAGCACAGCGATTGGATGGTAAGACAAGATCGCTACTCGGGGAAAATTCAGGTACCTACAGTATCTAATGGAAGGGACATCAATTCCAGACTCGGATATGATTGTATCGATTGGTGCGGAATTTGATCAATCATTTCCATAGTCTATCAGTGATCGACTCTCCGCGTATAGTGAAGTCCTCTGCGATATAGAGTGGAAGATACTAGAAACTGGAGACGATTGAACAAAACGTGCCTGGAATGGGCCAGAATGATGGAGGGCAAGGTGGTAAATGGACGTTGGACCCACGGAACAGCAGATCTGCTTCATGATGGGGACAGGCTAAATCAGCTCGAAGTATAGCGGTAAGGGTGATTTGGTGATATGATGAATCATGTATCTATCAAAATGAGAGGGTAAGGTTGATTAATAATGACATAAAAAAGTATATCAGATAGCGGTTCCTGAACCTAAGAGTCCAGATAACCTCAAATGTCCCCGAGGACCGCAAGAGGACAAGACTTGAGAAATCGATGATGGCACTCGTTGACCTTGACGGAAAGAAAGGAATGGAAAAAGTCCTCTACGTAATATACTCCCGTCCGTGCTGTATCAGATGGCGGATGGTCAGTGGGTAAGCTTGGCATCTTGCCACTCCCTAGTACAATGATCTCTCACATCGTGTGGGAGATACTCTACTTGATTTCTGCTTTCTCTTTCGAAACTCCTCCGGAATTTGTAGATTAATTTAACAAGTACATTCATGAGAGTGATGAGGTCAGGATAGGACAGCTTCTATGATCATTCCAAGTAGACTAAGTATCATCCAAGTTATGGAAAATCATATGTGCAACACCATTGGACCCATGGCATGGGCCGACTGTCATATTACCATGTCATTCCGTCCACCAGGTGTCAATGATTGAGGAAACTTACCGTACCTTACATCCCCTTTGACTTTTTACTTTACCAAACCCAAACTCCCTCAACCCAAGACCAATAACGAACCCTGCCAGTTTTAACCAAGAGCCCAAAGAGCCCGAGACACAGTCAGTCCGGACAATCGGCCGAAGGGATAACCTCTTTGACACCAGCTGAAAGATGAAAACCTTGAAGATTGAATATAACAGCAAAAGATACAACTTCCACTCTCATAAATTGGATAAATAAAGGTGATGAGCTATGGAAATGTCTGTTGAGCTGTATGAGTATTATTACCATATTATTACTATCATAATTACCTACCTACTTAATCATAGCCCTGGATGTCAGGATTAATTACCAACCTTCAGTCAGTCATTTAGTTACCCACCAAAGTTCCCCACCATTACCAGAAATAACCCACTAGTCATGGCTTGACCCATCCGCCTATCTGACTATCTCCGATTAACTATTATTATTATTCTTCTTTCCTGAGTATTGATCATTACTACTTGTCTAAATCCCCCCCTCCGCCTGTTCCCGCCTGACAAAAAGTTATTTTTCCCTAGAACAAAACACCTTTTGCCTGCCAAGTGCCTACAACCTCCATCTTTCCTGTTTTATACACCCTCGTCTCGCTCCCTCTTCCCTACTAATCAACTTCTATCATCTCTTTTTGTATTCGTCTTATTCTTCTTTCCTTCTGACTTCTTTCATCTCAACCCGTTGGGGAGTCCTTTTCACATTTTTCCAAGTTCTTCCGCTCCCTTGTTTTCTATGCGCAGACGCTCCTTTCCTCACTGTCCACCGAACTGAAACAAATCTCTCTCCGCCCTCCGTCATCGGCCCTCCGTACAACTCACATCTCCTTTTTTGAGATAAAAGGCCTTTCTTCTTTCATCGCTTATTGCTCTACGATTACCTAACTGTTGCTCTCCTTCTTTCCTGCCCGACGTTCAGAATTTCCTCTGTTTCGCCGGGCGCAAGTTTCGATCCTCCACCGCTTGACTGGCGCTGTAGCAGGTCTATCGCCGGACTTTTATCCGTCGTCACCGTTGTCTGGCACGCGGTGTCGGTTTTGTCCTTGCACCAACCGTCAATCATCCATTGCCAACTCAGCCTGCATGACTGCTGTCGCTTCCGCCCGAGTCGGACCCTGAGACAGAGTAATGCCGAATCATTCGTGCGCCCGATCACAGCTTCCCGTCAGCCCGCCTTAAATTGAATGGTTTACTGCGGAAGAATAATAGACAGGAAAAAGAGAAGGAGTAGGAAGAAGAAGAAGAGAGGGAGATAAAGTGATTAAGTGGAGGAACAATTTCATTACCAGGTCCAAACACACAGGACAGGAAGGAAAGCATCAGCAAAAACCCAGATAGGAGGATGCACTGTCGCACTTCCTATATTGTTGGTTTGGAAAAAGGATAACAAAGAGTATGAAAATGACTGATCGCCCGTCATCAGCTGGCCTGGAGGAATCCGTGAACTTGGTTGCTCGAAATGGTCAAGCAGTGGACAGCGTTCCGTCCCGACGAAGTTCGGGTAGGTCTGCTGAAGCTCCAGAAGCCTCGCTGCCTGCCCCGGCCGAGTCGGTAGATGTCAGGCAGGCAGTCGCCAAACCTCCCAGTGCCAAACTTGCCCTGCCTAACGGCGAGGTGGCGGATGCTCAAACGTCTCTTCGTCACACATTTCCCCATTTATACCATTCCTCCAGTGCATCCCGGTCACCCTCGACCCGTACTTCATCCAGCTCGCTACAGGCGTTGAACGAACACACAGTCGTTGACGCCCGGTCGGATCACGGTTTATGGACGAAAGCGTCTCTCGGGCGAAGAATGTCCCATCGCAGTGCGCACGATGCGCCGCCTGCCGATTACCCAGTATATCCTGACCAGTCCTACGCCGTACTCCAATCACAAATACACCCTACCTATCACCCTCCATTTCTGCGCTCCCGCAGTTCCTACCCAGCACGGACTGAGTCGCTTGGTCGACTTGCGACCCCGCGCGCCGCTCGCACTGCGGGCAACACTCCCGTATCGAGTCCTGGACTATTCTCCGTCCACAGTCCCCACTCAACGCCTCCTCCTCCTAACTCCGATGACGAAGGTCGCATTAGCAGTCCCTACCTACACCCTACTCATCTCCAGCCGCCGAAAGAGACACATACGGCGGAGGTTGACCGAGATCTCGTTACTGGGAACAAATTGATCAACCAATATGAGATTCTTGAAGAGCTTGGGCGGGGTGAGCATGGAAAAGTGAAACTGGGCCGTCATGTGACAACGCGTCAGAAAGTGGCTATCAAGATCGTTCAGCGCTATTCGAAACGACGCCGTTTGGGTAAATTGGGTAATCCCGAAGACAAGGTCAAGAAAGAAGTCGCCATTCTGAAGAAAGCTCGGCACCCAAATGTTGTCAGTCTGCTGGAAGTTATTGACGACCCGAACCGCCAGAAGGTGTATATAGTCTTAGAGTTCGTTGAGAACGGCGAGATCATCTGGCGGAGGAAAGGACTACGTGAGATTATACAGGTCGACAAGCGCCGCCTGGAACGTGAACAGGCCGGTATTCCCGAAACCCCGTCGTTCTGGGAGGAGAGTCGACAGTATGTCAGGACGGCGCAGCGCCTTCGTCGCCAGCGAGAGAAGGCACGTGAACGGCGCCAAATGAAGGCCGTCCACGCTCAACAGGCACCTATTCCCGCCTGGAGTTTAGAGCATGGAGCCGAGTCGGACGAGGAAGAGGAGGTTGATCCAGCAATGGCCCGCACCATTAGTCGCTCCATTGCGAGTCACGACGAGGCCCAAGAATCCCCGAGTCACTCCTTGGCATCCGCACATGACTCTGCGCTGGCCGCAATTGAAGGTACAATGTACGGAGCCTATGTTGATTACTCCCTAGATAGGCGATTCAGTACCGCCTCGAGCAGCATGGGCTACGCACCCTCCGAGCCGGAGTGGTTGTCGGATGATGACGACATGTCGTACGTTCCATGCCTTACCGTCAACGAAGCGCGAAACGCATTCCGTGATTCTCTACTCGGTCTTGAATACCTTCACTATCAGGGTATCATCCACCGCGATATCAAGCCTGCGAATCTTTTAGTCACAAGCAATCACCGCGTGAAGATTTCCGACTTTGGTGTTTCCTATCTTGGACGGCCCATGCGAGACGAAGAGGAGGAGCAAGTCGCTGAAACTGACGCGACCGAACTGGACGATGCTCGAGAGTTATCCAAAACCGTTGGCACCCCGGCCTTCTACGCACCCGAGCTGTGCTACACCGGCGACGACTTTGAAGAGACAATTGGCTCGGTGCCCAAGATTACCGGTGCGATCGATGTTTGGTCTCTCGGCGTGACCCTCTATGGAATGATCTTCGGACGTCTGCCTTTCGTGTCCGACGACGAATACAGCATGTTTCAGACTATTGTCAAGAAAGATGTTTTCATTCCGCGCAAGCGCTTGCAGCCTGTCGAGGACGACCCCGAGACCGTCAGCCAATGGCCCCGATACTCGAACAACATCAAGCGCATGGAGGACGAGCTTGTGTATGAGGAGATCGACGATGAACTTTACGACCTGCTGAAGCGATTGTTGACCAAGGATCCGGTCAAGCGCATTACGGTCAAGGAGATTAAGCACCACCCTTGGGTCCTCCATGGCCTGCCGAATCCCAGAGCGTGGATTGAGGAAACGGATCCAGGCTATCAGAGTAAGGGCAAGAGGATCGAAGTCTCCAACGAGGAAGTCACTACCGCCGTCAGCAAGGTGCCGTTTATTCAACGGGTACGGTCCAATGTTGCCAAACTGTCGAACTACCTCACTGGAAGGTCGAAAGACAAGGATAAGGAAACTCGCAAACGAACGTCTAGTACCACACCATCGGTCGAATCTTCCGCCTCAAGCAATGCTAGTTTGGGAAAATATATCCTGGACAGTCGTCGGGGTAGTCTCAGGGAGGAGGATTTATACCGGCCTGCCAGGCTGGCAACCAGGGACGCCGAACATCCGCTGTCGCACAGCGTGACGGCGAGTCCGGTTGGTCGGGATAATCAAACCTCATACTTTGACGAGGTAAGAACTGATGCGACGCTTGATCGTACGCCGCGCCCGGATCCTCCTCATCGCGCGACGTCAACCTTGTCTACTGCCGGATCTGCAAAGACTATCCGGCCAGACTGGACAGCCACACCAGGTGCAAGCCAGCGGGTCAGTGCGTCTTCCAAGGTCGAAAACCAGGGCACCACTCATGTCGGTGGTCTCTTAGGCGGGGCAGGCCGTCGGCTAGCACGTGGCCTTCAAAGCAGAGAGTGGCGCTCAGATCGGTCCATTTCCGGAGATACCGCAGATTCCGTCTCTCTAGACGGTGATCGTCACTCAGAGCCCAGCCTTGCCTTGAGCGTCGCCTCCGCAGTTGGTCATCTACAAAGCTCGAGCTCTTTGCGGGACGAGGACTTTTCCTATTCGCATGCGGGGGGCTTGGGCGCAGCGGAATTAGGACACCGGCGCAATAGATCTCAACAGCTTACGACCAAGTCATCACAGGAGCCGTTTCAATTCGCCAAAGATGTCTTGCTGAGGAAGCGACGGAGTGACATTTACCAGGCTCCTGTCGACGACCAAGTGCCACCGGAGAGCAAGAACAAGTCCACCGACTCGCTAAGTCTTCGACCCGAGCCACAACCAGAGACAACAACATGCGCAATCGAAACTGCCACCACCGACCCACCATCCGGTGGACTAACCACATCGCCACCCTCGGCTGCCACCATTTCCTCCTCCTCGGTCGACGACTACACCAGTGGAATGTCTCAGAGTGCTTCTCATCCAAGTATCCCCTCGGTCATTTCCGGTGCATCATCGCTTTCCGGTGATGGGTCCGTCAAGGACAGGGAATGTGAGCAGGCGGTCGCAGTCCCTTCCATCCTTCGCACGGGCGAAACGGTCAAGGCTAGACTCGTGCGGCCCCAACGGTCACACGAGGACGATGAGTCGCGGTACTACTGTGATGATGAAAATGATTCGGAGGACGACTCTGAAGACGAGGTTCTCGTCATTGGTAGAAAGAAGCCGAGCCCGCAGAAGCCAGTGATGTGTGGGACTCAGGCTTCCCAGCCCAAGGCCTGAGCTGGATATAGGAAATTCGCCTGACGTGGCCGACGAATCTTTCGAGTCAAAGTTTGCCGCCTGAAGCCAAAAAGGAAAAAAAAGAGAAGAAAAGTCTTCCTATTTTGAGATCTCTAATACCTTGCTAAGGGCGCAGAAACCATTGTCCTATTTCACATTCTGTTATTGTTCTTTGAGCAGTCCCTGACGTGATATCCAGTGGCTTGCTCCTTGCTGGGTCTCGTTTCTTTAATGTATATCAATTTTCTTCGCCGGGCCTTTTTCCTTCCTGTGTGTTGCACTATTGCGGGTCCCTTCGACAGGCCATTTGAATGACTGCATTTGCTGTTGGCATACATGGATACACTGCTTGTACATATATTCTCATGGGCGGCACGTCTATATTCGCTTTTTTCTTTGCTTGCCTTTGCTCCCTCCTTCCTTTCTTATTGCGCACCCCGGCGTTCTTCGATTCGACCCTCTGCGATTATATATTGGGATTTTGGCATGGGGTGTTTGAGATACAAACTCATCTATCGTTGTACGTAATGTTGAAACTCGAGGGAGGATCTGGGGATGCAAAGGTTGGGATATACCGAGCTAGAGTCCTTTTGAGGAAGCTCGCATGATGCATGAATGTCTTTTTTCCCTTTTCCTTTTGCTTTTTTCTTTCTTTCACTTTTGCGTGCTGTTGTGATGTGATGATGGATGATGATGACCTAAATTGGGAGACGCGGAACATCCCAGATGGCTTAGTATTTGACCCCCGGTTGGGATGAAGCAATAACAATTGATGGATGCTTGGTTCTTATGAAATATCTACTCCGTACCTTTCGAGCTAACAATTTTCCTCCAGTGCTGAAGGAAGCATGCTAGTCATGACTCCGCACCGGCGGTTTGAAATTCCCGGATCTGCAGTGCTCGGGGTATCACCATCCAGGAACCCACCACTTAGTCTTCTTCAAGGAAGTTCTTCAACTGTTCCTCCACCAATAGTGGATGTTGCCTCAATGTACCTATCCAAACCTCTGTCCTCCATCATTCCGTGCCATTTACCCGGCCATTGGAAAGAAAAAAAGCGGGACACCGTGCCATCCTGCCAGGTCATGTGTCCTTGGTTGATTCTGCTGTATGATGGTGCCGCAAGACCATCACTGGTTTCTGCTGAGACTGCTGTTGTCTCGGATTTATTGCTCCCTTATGTCCCAAGTTTGATTTGATGGATTAATTGGTAGCGTAGTCACGGCGGGGGGGAGCAGGAGAGAAGATACATATATGTGCTTTGAAACACTCGTTTTTCCTCGTTCTACAGGTGCTTAGGTCTTGTGTTGACATCCAGTGATTCTGAATTCTGACAGTTACTCGGGCAAGATGATGCTCCTACCCCTTTTTGTTCTCATCTTTCACTCTCTCGCTACTGCGTCGCTTACTTACCGCGGCGCTGATATTTCCTCCCTGCTGATCGAGGAGACGGCCGGGATTAAGTACAAGAATCTGAACGGGCAGACGCAAGCGCTTGAGACTATACTCAAGGCTAACGGTGTGAATTCCATTCGCCAGCGGGTGTGGGTGAATCCTAGCGATGGATCTTACAATCTGGACTATAACCTGAAGTTGGCGAAGAGGGTGAAGGCCGCAGGGATGAGCATTTACCTGGACTTGCACTTCAGTGATACTTGGGCGGACCCAAGTCATCAGGTACGTGTGATGTGGTCGCCCTAACTGTGCGTACTATGGCTGAGACGAGACAAATGTAGACCACACCCGCTGGGTGGTCGACCACCGACATCGGCACCCTCACCTGGCAAGTGTACAACTACACAAAGGAGGTCTGCGACACGTTCGCCAGCAACGGCATCGAGGTCGCCATCGTGTCTATCGGCAACGAGATTCGCAACGGATTGCTATGGCCGCTCGGCGGGACGAGTAGCTACGCCAACATCGCCAACATCCTGCACTCGGCGGCCTGGGGCATCAAGGACTCGACCCAGTCGCCCACGCCGGAGATCATGATTCACCTCGACAACGGCTGGAACTGGTCGGAGCAGAAGTACTTCTTCGACACCGTCTTGTCGTCAGGCGGGAACCTGGTCAGCTCCGACTTCGACCTCATCGGCGTGTCGTACTATCCGTTCTACAGCGCCAGCGCCACCCTGTCGGCGCTCACGACCAGCCTGAAGAACATCCACTCGACCTACGGCAAGGACGTGCTGGTCGTCGAGACGAACTGGCCTGTCTCGTGTCCGAACCCGGCGTATGCATTCCCTTCGGATCTCAAGAGTATTCCCTTCTCGGCGGCCGGGCAGACGACGTTTATACAGCGGGTTGCGAGCGTTGTGGCGGGGACCTCGGGTGGCATAGGACTGTACTACTGGGAGCCGGCTTGGGTGCAGAATGCGGGCCTGGGCTCGAGCTGTGCGGACAACTTGATGGTGGATTGGAGTACGGATCAGGTAAGGACAAGCGTGAGTGTGTTTGAGGGGATCTGATCGTTGTACATCCTTGTCTGCGATTGCTATACTCCGTACGAAGTAGTCTACAACCACTACAAGCTACCAGGGATCAATATTGTTTTAGAAGTCCAAGGCAGAAACATTTCCGTGAAACTTGGTAGTCGAAAATGTGTTGAATTGTTGATCGCTCATAACTCGGACATGACGCTCGGTGGCTGTGCACCACGACTAGTATCGACCAACACGTCTGGAGAGTCCACTTAGACCAAAGAGTTGACCTGTCAGAATCCTGCAAGCTGGTAGCTAAGAAGTGAGATATCTCAAGGCTCACACTCTGTAATGTAGCACACAGATATAAAAAGAACGGAATGCTGTCGGGCTGACTTTTCGTACAGAAAGGGGGAGGGATAGTCGTTTGCTACGGAGTATAGGCTAGAGACAAAGAGCCGATAATGTCATTAGCTAACAGCCTTGAGTGGATCGATCATGGGGAATTGGATACTGATTTATGTGGGGAATTGCAGGAGACAGGAGAGGTTCACACAAATATCCCAAGATCGATTTTGAATATTTGTAACCACTAACCAGGATGGTTGATGGAGTCTTACTCGACCTGTCTACATTAGCACCACAGCTGAGTCTAGGTACGGGAATAGAATCGGGATAAGAACATCAGTTGGACATGTCGTCAATCGGCACAGAACACAGTCCGTTCATTTATGACTTTGGCGTACTGAGTCCTGATATTGGACTCTGCAGCAAATACTCAAGATACCATGATATCCAGAATACTACCTACTTTTCCCCCCTATTTTCCTGCGTTTAGATTCCAAGTCAAACTCTCTTCTTTAAATCGGTCAATGCAGTCTACGGACTACCTAGTATGTAGCCTAGTAATAGATCATACCTACTCCGTACTCAGTCCCCTGCCTAGAGGGTTGTCTGTTCTGCCCATGAATAGATACGCATTGTTAGGGCGCCAAAACCCCCCAGAATCACAGTAAGAGAAGCCCAACTCTCTTTCACCCCACCTCTGTGCGTCCGTCTTCTCTTTTAGTCTCATATTTTCCCCAAGGGAGTATCTCATCTTTTTTGATAACTAGCTGCCTGCAAATATCATCGTCATCGTCGTCATTGTCGGTCAAGTTATGTGTTTTTCGTCGCATATAATAATAACGATAGCACGTGCCTGAGGGGAATCATCATTATCTCTTCAGCTTCAACTTCATCATCATCGTCATCCCTCCGTCCTCTATCAGTCTTCCTCTTTGATTCTGATTGACAGAAATACGGGCCCAAAGTCTTAGATCCTTCGATGATCTCTTGACGTTCTCCTATAGTTTCCTGTCCCAGGTACATTTTCCATACTAGAGACATACTACCCCCGAGAATGTGAAACAACCGCAAGACCAACCACTGATGCTTGCGCCACAAGGCTGATTCGCAAGGTGCACTCCAACTCCAGCTCCAACTCCAAATCCGACTCCCTGGGTCTTGTCTCGTCCACTCCTGATCGCTGCGGATGATATCCTCTTTTGGCCCTCCTTCTCTGCCGGACCCCCGTTGGTTATCACCTCTGCGCTCGTTGATCCCTCCCTAGTCCACCTTCACCGCCCCTCTCTTCTTGCCCATACATACTACGGCGGCGCTTCTCTATCGACCACCCCTCCGCCCGCGCGCTCGGTCGCTTGTCCCTGTTTCCGCGGCCACCTTCATCGCTAAGCCTCTGGGTCCAAATCTGTATCTATTCTGGGATCACGTTGCACAAACGTGATGACTTCACAGGAGATGTTCCCCGAGTTGGGGCAGTCTCCTGCACCTGGCGTTAAAAGCCGCGGTGTCAGCCCCTCCCCCCATCATCATCAGCAGCAGCAGCCGCAGCAGCAACAGCAACAGCATCAACAACATCAAGGACAATTTACTGGATCAGTCACTGGCTTGGATCTCGATTCGTCGATCGCTGCAGCTAGTTCCTTCTCCAATTCGTCCTTTGATCCCAATAGCAACAACATTGACCCTTGCGCCGAATCGTATGGTTATACTGCCGCTGGCTATCTCTCAGGCACTCCTGCATCACAGACCGACCAGAACTACGCGAATAGTCTTCAGATACAGCAATCATACGACACCGGTCTGGTTCCTCAGTTCAATGAGTCACACGGCTTGTCGATACAGCAGCAGTCGCAACAACAACACCAGCAGCCCCCCATCGATGATAACTTCTCCAACCTCTTGAACTCCAATACCGCCGATTACGACTTTAACACCGTCTACCAGAATCACAGTCCCAGTAGTAATACTGCTCCCGAGTACGACTCCTCCCTTCTGCTTGACCCTCAAGTCCACCAGCAGGCGCATCCGACCCAGATACCCTCCTCCCATTCCTCGACTTCTCCACAGATCTCCCCTCTCGAGCAACAGCAGCACTCCTCACCGGGTCCGATGTCACCCCAAGGCCCGACTACCGTGGCTTACTATACCCCTCAGCATTCCCGTCATGCATCCTTAGACCCCGCCACGGCGGCCTTCCTCACCAGTAACGCGCAGCCTGACTGGCAGGCTGTCATG